TCTTTTTTTTCCACTCAATTTAATGTCTGAGATACTCACCCAGGCTGTTAAGTAAAACTGTATCAGTTCATTTTCTTAATAATCTATTGTGATGAGGAATGGCAGTTTATTGGGCTCTTCTCCTGTCAAACAGTGTCTGATTTGTCACAGGTTTGGGCAACTATGAGCCACGCTGCTGTGACCATTCCAGTATGAACACCTTGCAAGCTTTTTAATAAAGGAGAAGAATTGCTGTCTTGTGGAATATGCAAATATTCAACTTTGTAAGACAGGGCCAAGTTCTTTCCTTAGATAAATTGTAGTCATTTATGTGTCCTAAGCAGCAAGTACTTGTAATTATTAGATTTCTTTCCCTATTGGGAAGAAAACGGTATCTTATTTTCATTTCAATTATTTATGAGTTGGTCATCTTTTCACTATTTATGAAATATTTATGTTCCCGCCTCTGCAGATGCTTGCTCATATCTTTTGCTTATTTTTCTATGATTTTGCACTTTTTATTATTTGTAAGAATCCTTTATATATTTTGGACTTTTCTGCTTTGCCAATTACATCTATTGCAAATATCTCCTCCCAGATTGTGCTTTGCTTTATAAGTTTCTTCATTGTGTCTGTTTACAAGAATAAATTTGCTATTTAATGTAGTTTAAGTTGTCAGTTATTTCTCGTATACGAGGGATTTTAGAAAAATCCCTTGATATTCTTAAACTTTAGATTTTAAATAAGTTTTGCCTTTAACATAAGCTCTTGGATTGTGTAGGCTTTTTTCTCCTTGTGGGTGAACATTTTTGTCTTTCCCAGGGATTTGTGGTGCTGTCTCTGTTGTTTTCACGACTCTGTTGGGAAGCTCTTCCGTGTTCCACGAGTGAAGCTGTCTGTCCCTGCATTCATACCAACCTTCCCTGCTTGCAGACCCACTTATTAGATTTCATTGAGATTTTCGAGTAATTTTCTTCATGAAGCTTTGCACATTGTGAATTAGTTTTATCCCGAAGTTCCTTATAGGTGCTTCTTGCAATTTTTAAGAAGTTACATTTTTTTATTAGTGTATATTTTCTATTGATCTTGTGTTCAGTGACTCTGAAAAACTCAATTATAATAAACTAAGTGTGCATCTTTTTGAGTTTCTCTTAAACAATCACATCACCTGTGAATAATGGCAAAATGTATTTTTGTATTTTCAATTTTTACATCTTATATTTTCCCTTTTTACCCTATTACTCTGGCTAGGTACCTAGTATCATGTCAACAAAGAGAATAATAGAGCATCTTTGTCTCATCTCTGATTTAGAAATAACCTTTTAAAAATTTCACCATTAAAATTGACATTGACCATAGCTTTTTGGGGGGCAGATAATTTTATATGGCTTTATAACTTGTCTTTATTTTGACAAAAGTTTTTTTTCCTAGTGTAGTTAGATCTTATTTTGAGCAAAGAAGTCATAGACACCAAAGTATCAATGAGAATTAACTTTAGAAAACCAATATTAAGGCTATGTCATGACTTATTTTTCTAGAGGATGCATTTGATATGCCAACCAATATCCCTTGTCCCTCCTGTGTTGGACGGCCTCATGCAGAACCTCAGGTGGAGTAGTGCACATCCCTCTAATTCACAGCTGATCTCAGAGGTTACAGCTAAGTGAGATTGCCTTTGTACTTGGGGAAGCAACTGTGGAGAGTGTGCATAAATAGAAAGAACTACCCTCCCTGCAAAACAAGAGATTTTCTTGGAGGAAGTTGATAAAAACCACACTTTTTTTTTTTTATATAGCTAAGTCATAAAGAGACATCCAACTTAAAAGCAAAACATTACAGGGTAATTTAATGAAACTACGGGAAGCATCAAAGAGAGAGAAAATAGGACGGGGGCAGGGCAATCACAAATTCATAAACGTGGGAAGGAAGGGCCAGGGCGGAGACAGCATTGAGCCTGCGCTGAAGACATGAGGTGTGAGGATCTGGTGGGACTTGGAGCTCAGGCAAGAGCCAAGGTGAAGAGATGATGGGACAAAGTTCCACACCCTCCGCACACTTACGTTGTCCTTGCCATTGGCGCTGTCTCCACCAGCCTTTCCTTCTTGACCTCTTTTTCCTTGTCCTCGGCCAACTCCAGCTACTCGTCCCCCATTTCCACTGGCACGGCCCACAGCGCCCCTCAGCACAGTCAGCTGCACCTAGCCCCCTCTCTGCATCAGTCGCATGTTCTGTCGGGGAGCTTCTGCCCTGCTCCTTACTGACTTAGACTGGCCCTGTTTGTTCTCTTCCTTTTCGATTTTTTCCCAGGTTTTTCAGGATGGAATCCACTCTGTTTTATTTCAGTCAGTTCCTATCTAATGCCCGGGAGGTCATCTTTCACCTTTCCAGATTTGGAAGAGCTCCACACAAGATATTCCAAGACCTCTTAGAATGAGAGCCACTTTTGCCCCATTGTGAGGTGTTTCCTGATGGATGCTGGTGTTTCAAGAGCAGTGGAAGGAGGAGGAACATGCTTGGAAATTGTACCTCCTGTCTTAATCCCTCCAAAAGTTGTGGTCCAGGTCAGAAGAGAAGCAGAGTACAGTGATGGGGAAGGGAGTTCTGGTACTGATCTGTACCTCTCTGCTACAGATCCTTTCGTGCCTGCATTTCCTCACCTCACTTTTGGCTGTGTAGTGAAATTAATATCTGAAACCTAGCCAGCAATCATTCCGCCATCCAGCCCTGGAAGGCTACAGCAGCTCTGGCATTTTGCTTACTAATTTACCGGATAGAAGCAAAGCCCCTACAAACAGAGCAGCCCAGTTTCACCTCCATGTCCGACATCTTGTCCACAGGAGTGTTGAGAACACACAGGAGTTCATGGCGTGAGGGTCAGTCTTGGTAACCTGGCTCAGCGTTGAATTTGATGAAGAGACACCTCATAAAGCTGAAAAGCAGGAGCAGGGAGGGAGAGGAGATTTGACTGCCAGGTTTTGTATAGAAAAGCCAGAGGCTACTCAAGGTTAGCAGCATGGCCAACAGGGTTCCATCTCCATCTCTTTACAAAATGGCCTTTCTTTTAATCATAAAAGGATTTTGAGTTTTAAATTATGCATTTTCTGCATTATTTGAATGATCATGTATTTCATCTCAAATTGACTAATGCAATATAATATTTATGCATATTTAGCTAATATAAGTAAATCATAGAGCTGTTAATATACATTTCTCAAAACCTATTGTTTCTGCCCCAAACTTTTCTATAACAGTGACACCCCCCAGCTGGGATTTCAGTACGTTAGCATGTGAAGTGTAATGGGCAAATCAGTCATATTTGTCTTGAGTTTAATAGGGTTTCTTTACCAATGTCAAAGCAACATTGCATTCAAGGATAAACCCAAGTTAGTCAATTATTGTTCCTCGTATTTGCAACTCTGCTCATGGCTGAGCGTGACTTACACTCCCTACTCTCATGCTGTTTTTCCAGGTTTGAGGAGGGTCAGTGTCACAGAGGCTTCTCAGGATGGGTTGGAGAGTAGATTTTTTTTTTTTAAATTCCAGAAAAAGACTTTGCAAATATTTGGGATGCTATACTGAAAGTTAAGTAGAATTGTCTATAAAAGCCCCAGTACTCAGCATTTTCTGCATGGGAAGACTTTTAACTTCTAATTAAATTAATACAAAATTGTAGGGATTTCATTTTAATGTTTTGATATATTATATTTTTCTAGGGCTCCATTTACTTGACCTATGTCTTGCTGGTCATATTGGGTTTATGGCAAATAGGTCTCCAGGAAGCTTTTTAAATGTGTATGTAAAAGCCTTGATGCAGGATTTTGGGCTCCTGGCCATATTTTCATCATTTGCAGGTTACAGCGATTCATATTCTGGTCAGCCAGGCAGCTGATCAACTTCCATTCAGGTGTAGTTCACCTGAGAGCCCCAACTAATTTTTCTAGAGAGATTTTCAGTAAAAATGTGTGAGATGTTTCTTAGCAGCTCTCACCCCATCTGGTGTACTCAATTGACAGTTTGAGGATTTAGCACCACAAAAAATCCTGCCATTATTTTGAATTTGGGTTTTATTTTATGCTTTAGATCAACAATGGCTCCCCAAGCTCCCTGAAATCAGCGGCAGGGCTTCTGAGGGAGATTGGATCATGAGGACATTGTAGCTAAATGTGATGTTAGGAGCCAGACCCTGGTAGGAAGGGGCGGGTCACTGGGGTCGTGACCCGGAAGGATATAGCTCCCTTCCTGTCTGGTTCCCGGACTTTTTGCCATGACGTGAACAGCTTTCCTCTGCCTCTCCTTTTATCATGATGTTTCTGCCTTGGAGTCAATCAGCAGACCAAGAGCTAAAAACATGGGCCACATAAACCTCTCCTCCTCTCAGGGCAGGCATCAGGTACTGTGTTCCAGTGAGGTGGAAAGTGACTGACAGGTTGTATAGCATAGATCTGCAGCTATAACACAAACAATAGCAATAACAAAACTGTAATTCTTAAATCTTTTTATCTCTTGACAGTTTTTCTTCAAAATTTAAATGCTGAGAAATAATCAATATTCCTAGCGGGCATAGTGGCACATTCCTCTAATCCCAGCACTCAGGAGGTTAAAGCAGGAGGACTGCCTTGAGTTCGAGGCCAGCTTGGGCTATATAGTGAGTTCAAGACCAGCATGAACTACAAAGGGAGACCCTGTCTCAAAAAACAAACAAACAAGAAATAATCAGTATTCCTATTAAGTGTCATCCTTCTGGATAATACAAGTGTCCATGTAAAAGAGCAAGAATTAGAGTTACTTTTCAGTTCTTCAGGAGCACAGATTGTATTTCTGTGGTAAATAACTCTCCAGGATGTTTTCACTGAAGATTGTGCCTTGATAACCACATTCAAGGACAAGTGTGTTCCCGCCTGGCGATGTTCATCGTTAGCAAGGTGCAATGCTGGCCTATCGTTCAAGTTCTCTTGAGTATCACACTGCCACCTGAAACACGAAAGTCATTGCTCTTTTGCAGGAAGAATCTGTTTGCTTAGATTCAACATTAACTGAATCCAGCAAGAGTGTGTGAAGGCCGAAAAGAACTGGGGAGAAATTGACTAAAGGATGAGCCAGACTTTGGAGATAAGAAGAGATGTGATCGGCAGCAGAATGCCTCAGAAGGACATTCTTAAAATGTTTCCATTCTTGGGCCTGGGATTTAGCTCAGCGGTTCGGTGGCCTGCCTCGCAAGTGCAAGGACCTGAGTTTGATCCCTGGTACCACACACACACACACACACACACACACACACACATTAAAAAAAAAAAGTTTCCATTCTTGAAGTGCCCTTATCAAGTGTCTTGATTCACTTATAACTCTGCTCGTAGTGTCAAACCAATTTGTACCCCATTTCCTCTTGGAGCACCAACAGGGCCACGTAGCAAGACAGTGGTATGGCTCTCTGCATGGGCAGGTGAGACCCGGCGACAAGACTTTCCGGAAGCTCATTCAGATGACAGGCACTGGCTGCCTTCAGCAGTTTCCTGTCCTTGGAGGTGGTGTGGGTCAAAATAGTTTATTAAGGAGCCCTTAGTATGCAGTGTCACTTGAAGTCTATTTTTTTAATGGTCTCAAGTCATTTTATAAAGCGATCTTTAAAATCTTTGAAGTTTAGTAGGTAAATCAAATATCCTTCCACCGAGTTTACTCAAGGGGACACTCAAAGGCCTAATTACCACATTGCTGTGATTTTAGTAGGGGTATATAATGAAAGATTAATTTCTTTTTATCTGAGAACACATATCATGGAAGAATTCTGTGAGTTTAATCAACCACATTGAAACTTCTCAATCCCCAGCACCAAAAAGAAAAAAAAAATTTTTTTAAATCTGAAATAAGAATTTGCTGTAAGCATTAATATAAACAGCAAATTCTAAGTGCTTACTATGCAACAGGCTCATTTTCAGGACTTTCCTAGGGCTAATTTAGTTAATCCGCTCAGCAACCCTACCTTGAATTTTTTTGTTTTTTAGTACCGGGGTCAAACTGTGGGCCTTGTGCTTATGAGGCAGGCGGTGGAACCACTGAGCTAAATCCCTGGCCCTTGCCCTACCTTGATTTTTGCTTGTTTTTACTTAATCTTTGGGTTGCTAGGAATGGTAACAGCCAGTAGCCTGCGGCTGTTAGATACAGAATTAATGCCGGACCGATGCACCTGCAGAAGGTAGTGGGAAAGCCAAGCCTGTCAGGCTGACTGCAGATTTTTCAGACAGGACTTTTGGAGCCGAGGGAGGTAGCAAGTGGCTGGCATGGCTGCATGGCCTGAGCTGGTGCAGCTCTGGGCTAGGGTGGCCTTGAAGGTTTAGGACTGAAGTGGGTAACCATGGCTACACAGCCTTGTGGAACCACTGGTGACTGGAAGTGTGCGGTCCATCGTGGCCCGAGTAAGGAGCAGAGAGTTCAGATCAAAGGCCGTCTGGATCTCCCGCTGTGGCCTCTCTAGGTCTCTTCTCTCGATCCCTCAGGATTTTCAGTTGTTTTGTACAAAATATGGGTTGGAGTATGGTTTTTGTAACGACTGTACTTACAGAATGGAATTGTCTATTGTTTTAAACACAAGAATTAAACATTGTTTCTCTGTGAAGTACTTCCCTAACTCAGCCTGCTAAAGCTAAGATTGACAGCTTCCAAAACCCTGTTTTACTTCCTAAAATGACAGGAACTTTGACTTTACTTTTATATATTTACTTATTTATTAATTACTTTTTTGAATGTTGAAGTTTGCTCAGGCTGGGCGTCCACTAGAAATCCTCCTGACTCAGCCTCCCAGACTGCTGAGATTACCGGTGTACTTTGCCACACCTGACGTGATCTTCCTTATAAATACCTCCTACAAACAATCCGTTTTATAGGTAGGTTGCCCAGCTGCCAGTCACCCCTGACACTTTTTTGCTTCTGCCATTGTGAATGTATTCTGCCTTGGGCTCCGGGGATGTATATGCTGAGGAAGAAAAGCAGCTGTTGGAGGAGGTGGTCCTGGCCCTGAACACCCACCCTTGGTCACATCTTGTACTCATCGACCTTCTCCACTCAAAACACTTCCTTGCAACAGAAACTTAGAAAACTATTTTTAAAAAATCACTGAATGATCCCATAGTCTCCACTCAGCCACTTAGAAGGCTGGGGCAGGAAGATCATTTGAGGCCAGAAGTCCAGGAACAAGGCTAGGACAAGATCCCACTCAAATGCACAAGAACAGAAACACAAAAAATTTAAGGGAGGACAGAAGAATAAAGCCAATAAAGTCTTTAAAATGTTTTCAAAGACACTGAATTTGCTTTGGGCTAAATGAAGTAACCCCTTGGCCTGGATGCATCGCAGGGGTACCCCTGGGGGAGAAGGCGGGGCGCCTGCTTCCTGGCATTCTCTGACCAGAGGTCACACTATCAGGGGTGCTGCAGAGACCACTGGTCCTTCCAGGCTCTTACTGTCCTGGGCGGAGCCATCAATGGAGGAAGTGAGAGTTTAATGTTTACCTAAGACAAAAGGAGAAAGGAAGCGCAGAAGAAGGAGAGGTGCTCTGGAAAGAAGTGCTGTGCAGAGTGAGCGTGGGCCGGTACAGCAGGCGAGGAAGCGTGTCCTGCAGGGCTAGACAGGTCAGGAGCCATGCGACCATCTTTTATATCCCCTTCTGATGTCAGATCCAGGCCATTCCTTCAAAAACCAGCTTGAGCTCACTAGAAGATCAGTATCAGGCACAGGGCGAGGCTTCCTCATGACCATGAGGATCCCGTGCCGGAGGAACCGAAGACCACGCTCCCTGATTGGTTGGCTGCTCTCCTATCATTCGCTGAACTTCACAGGCCTCGCCCAATTGTTCCAGCCACTTCACCTTGCCCTATCTCCTGCCTTGATGCCACAGTAACAAGTAATTCCGGCCCAGAGTAGAGACCTCCCAGAGCAACTCAGGCATTTGCTTGACACTCCAAAACCCAGGCCTTTGAGGGAGACCAATGTCCTAAGCTTTTGTTTGGTGACAAAGGGCAAAACCCTAACTGTCCTGCCCGAACGTGATGAAATCAACTCTGACAGGACTGGAAAGAACAACCTGTCATTTGACTGCCACACAGATCAAAAAGTAACATCTTCTAAGGAGCACAGCTGCAATGCTGCCACAATGGCGTCTGTCCCTTGACTCCTGGACCTGTGAGTCCGGCCAGTGGAGACGGCATCTCAGAGTTTCTGCAGCCTTGGAGAGCCTTGTTCCAGCCGCACAGGCACTGCTACTCAGTGCTGCGGCTGCATCCTCAGGAGGCCTCTCCCTGGTCTGTGAAGCCAGCCAGCTCAGGGTGGTGGAGAGCACGGGGGCCCGGGGGAGTCTGTGAACCATCACTGTGGGGAATCTCAGCAGAAAGACTGAATATAGACAGAAGGGGCAGAAGAGGTTTGGAAACGGAAAGGATATTGGTCTGCTGTGAAAAACATCACTGCGTAGGGTTAACCGCATACTGCAAAAAACAAAGAAAGGCTGTGTGACCCGGAAGATATAGTGATAGAAATGATCCAATTAGAGGGACAAAAAGGACTAAGATTGGTGACCTGGGGGACAAAGCTTGGGGTTGTGGAAGAGGAGCCTCTCCCGTGACTGGCCAGGTGCAGCTGAGCCTGGGTGTGTGGCTACAGGGACCTGGGGACAGTTTGAGACGATCAGGACATAACTGGAGGATAGGGGCAGCCAAGTTCCTCACTGTTGAAGAGAGCAGGGGAAGAGGAGGGTTAGAGAACGCCTTGCGGTGTTAGATTGGAATTGAAAGTATCAGTATGAACTCACGGTTTTTCATATTTATTTACATGATCACAGATGTTTGTCTACATTTCTGGGGGGGAAGGGAGGAAGGGAGAGAGAGAGAGAGAGAGAAGGAGAGACAATGCATTTATTTGGGAAGGGACAATGCAGTGGAAAACCATGCACATAGGAAACTGTGCATTCAAGGAGGTTGCGGCAAAAGCAAGATTTTAAAGGCAACATGAGGTGGGCTGCATAAATAGTTTTTGAAACAGTACTCTCTGGCTCAAAGGGTAACACCAAAGTTGGCATCCATCCAAGGTTGCTTCCTACAGAAGCATTTTCTATGTGAAGCTGGGGTGGCCTTTGTGCAAGGCCATGGCTCTGGCAGAGCTCTTGCGATGGCTCTTACTGTCAGGCACACGTGCATGAGGTTCCCGCCTTTGTAACCTGCTGCTTCATCTTCTTTGTTAGTTTGACACAAGTGACTCCATCTGGGTTCTGGAAACCTTCACAGTATATGAAAACAGGTTTCCTAGCTTTGTTCCAGGAGAAAGCCCATAGCAATAACACCTCGATGGCAAGGAACACACCTAGGGCTGAAATGTTAGTTTATACATGCTATGCTTCCATAAAAAAAATCAGGGCTCCGGGAGAAAGGTTGACTCCCAGGCTGAAGCAAAAAGCTAAGGGAAAATTACAAACTGAGCCAGAACTGTTGTATAAAGCCAGAAATTAAGAAAGTGCTTATGGACTAAGAAGATAGGTCGGGCAGACACAGGAATCAGGAAAGCAACTCCTGCTGGCCACATCTAGGTAAAAAATAAAATTCAATAAAAAACTACACAAAGACTTTGAGGTTTGGCTCTTCAGACATTTGAAGCAAGGAGAAATTTATTAATCTACAAAGATAAAATATGAATAAGTAAATAAAATGTGGATGAAGAGAAAGCTCTACCCTGCAGTAGAAGGCCACCGATGCACACAGAAAAGGTGGAATAGGACAACGGCCAAAAATGTGAATAGAGAAAGCTCTACCCTGCAGTAGAAGGCCACCGATGCACACAGAAAAGGTGGAATAGGACAACGGCCACTAGGCAGTCAGGACAGCGACACACGATGAAGGCGAGGATCCATGATGAACGCTGTCTGGGGATGAAGGTTCGTGAGGAATTCGATGTTGACATAAACTCAAAGTATCTCCCCATACCGTATTTAAGTGGACCAACTTTCCAGTGGAGAATCTGGCAGATGCCATTTTAATGACACAAGGAGAGTTACTGTCTCCAAAGCTGGGACCACTTACCAGCTTGTGCTCCCTCAAGCGGTGTGAGAAATGCCAGCATTCCCACCCCCGTGCATATATCATGGAGAAACACCACACAAACCCAGACGGAGGGATGTTCTACAGATGTTCCCCACAGAAATGTGCAGAGACCAAGAAACTGTTTCTGACAGGAGACAACAAGACAAGCGGGGGTCTACATCTTTCACATGATCCTGGGTTAGATTCTAGATCTATGAAAATTGTGTTCAGAACAACCACTACACTTGAATGAGACTTGGCCTGTGGATTCGCTTTTCCCAACTGGAGAGCCCTTGCAGTTAGGAAATGCACAACGAAGAAATAGGCCACAGGGTGTCACCTCTATGGCTTATTTTCAAGTGGAGCGGGAACTGGTGGGGATTTACATGAAGAACATCTGTGAACTGTATCCTTTTTTTAACTTTAAACTTGAAACTATTTCAAAATAAATAGTTTACAAATTCCTAGGCTGGATCCATGGAAATAGTGCTTTCTACTTTCTTTGTGCCCCGTTTCCCACCTGCCCACTGGCAGAGCCATTTTCTGAAGCTTTGAATCTATCTGAGCAGCCCACTGGGAGCTGTCTGCTAACGGAACCACTATGCCTGACTGATGCACAGTCCAGCTTTCTGAATAGTTTCAGACATAATCTTTGGAAAGCTTAGAATATCCAGGAAACTCTGTGGAGTATGTAACTGCTCCTTCCAGCCTTAGGGAAAGGAATGACTAAATTAATTCGTACGAGTGTGTGTGACCAGCGACTTGCTTATGCCATTACAGCAACAGAAGAGGGTGAGGGGGGAAGGGGTGGCGGAATTCTCTGAGTGACAGAAATGAGGAAGTGGTAGGAAATGTGGAGTTGAGGGAAAAAAGGGGCTTCAATAAAGGTAAACTGGCTTTGTCTTGACTTGGTAGTCAAATCTGCATTTACCCCATTTATTTTTTACCTCTATCCAATCTCACAATCTTGAAAGGATTCCCCTTTCTCTTTAGGATGCTGTGATTACACATTTTCAAGGGCTATTCCCTAAAATGCAAGTTTTGTTATTTTTCCACTTGTGGGACCCTGCCACAACCTACCAATGGCATACATGAAGAAATATGAGGTCCTAGAGTCCTCGCTGGGCAACACAATTAGCTAAGATATGCGTATGTACTTTGGGATAGCATCTAGTTGAGTCTGCACCTAAAGCTTTAATTCTTACTTGGATCGTTAATTCTAGAACCAGAAAACACTTCACTCCATGTAACAGTTGCTCCTCAAAGTTTTCATTTTACACTTTTAGAATTTTGCCATGTCCCTTATTTATCTTTTTCTATTCATTTCAGGCTTTCATTCTTTTCTCCTCCTTCATCTCAAGTCTTTACTTCTCCATTAAAGCTACTAAAGCATCCAGTGTGTATTTTAAACTAGCATTCAAAGCTCAAAGTAATTCTAAAGAGTTATGTCCTTGCTTGCGATAAAAACAGAAGATTTTCTTTTAACCTGATCCTTTGCTTTCTTCCGTCATCAGATGTTCGGAGAATTCCAACTTCTAACAAGAACAGATATTTGTAAGAAAACAAGGCACATTTTGGAATCCTATTCAGAAAATACACTGCCTGCCTTTTCAGTGGCGGACAATCCCATCAACACTGCGCCGGAGAAGCAGGGAAGCGGTGCACAGACGGAGGCCTGCCGAAACATTGGTACGTGCGTGGCATCGGGCGAGCTGGTCTGCTTAGCTGCGCAACTCAGAATGTTTGGAAAAGCACTGCTTCAGTAATAAGATTCAGTGGGACAAACGACGGAAAAGAAAAAAGAACTTTTCCCAAGGGGAGAAGGAGAGCCATAGAACACTGTAAAATTGTATTTGGGGAACTAGCAACCTAATTTTATAATACAGATCCCGAGGTCAAACATGATAAAATTATCCTGGCAGACAGAGTACAGAACTCCTGTCCCTCCCAGCAGCAAAACCTGGAGGACAAACTTGGGGTTTCGAATGTTTTCCTGGAAGATGTTGGGCTATAAACACGTTCGCTTTGACAGATATGAAGATGACGGCCACATGTTTACTCCTTCCAGGGGCATTTGGGGATGATCCCAGCCTTTCTGTTGTTGTGAATGAGAAGGCAAACAGCATATTCATCATGGCCACTGGTTTGCCATTTTATATAGTCATACGGTTTGCTTGAAAGGATGTTAGATTCTGACCTATGCTTTGTCATATTACAAATACATCCGAGTGTGGCAAGCTCACTGGCTGTAATATTATGTTGCACTCAGGTGTGCTTTAGTACTTAGTTATTTTACTTGTCATGGCGCAGTGATTCCATTCTTCTTTTCAGGTCCAAGTGTCCACGCCTGTGTTGGAAGTTAAAAACCCCTTTGACGTCCATGTTTTGTGAATTTTCTCTATACCTGGGCAAGGAGAAGCTCACAGAGGTGGAGGTCAGTGTCACAGCCCTGGCGGTTCTCGTGGCTGCCTTTCATATATTTGGGATTGAGGCCCGAGAAGACTGTCTCAAACCCTCAACTTCTTAGAGACGCTGATCCTGGAGACGCACAGTCCCTATTTTCCTTCTTTGAAAGAAAAGGAAAAGGAAGTAGGATTTCAGCCCGTCACTTACCAGCATGCCAGAGCTTACATCAAAAGTCACCTGTGGGTCAGCTGAAGCATGATAAAAGTATCGTTCTCATTTAGGTTCGGGATAGAGGTAGGTATTAGCACATCATCTTGCATCCACCTTTACACTCGCTTCTTTGTGAAAGTCTGTAATAAATACTACTTAAGTAAAGGGCTCTTTATTCATTTTGATTTGAGGTCTTAGGAATTGCACGATCAAGGTAACACATCAAGTGCGCCTTAGTTTTCAAAAGCCTCCATGCTCGGACCCTTTGGATTAGGGTATGGCCTCGCATTTTACTCCACCTGCCCAGCAGCTACGGCCTGTGAGCTGCATCTTTGTTCTGAACACTGCTTGGAAACTGCTGGACCTGAACATCTTCCGAAGGGGCACAGGCCCTCAGCTGGGCTCACCCCAGGTGGCTGGCTTCTCCTGGCCTATCCCTAGGCCTTCTGGTTTCCCACGGTCACTTACAAGGGCGGGGTGGTCCTGAGGTCTTCTCCCTGCTGGCCCCTCTTGGTGGCACAGGCTCTGCCTTGTGGCCTGTGTTCGTCTTCTGGAGCTTCCTTCTCTAGGGACCCAGTGCCCGGTGTGCCTGCCCACTGGCTCTGCCCAGAGCCCCTCGTAGAACTGGGGTGTGCTCAGAACAATGGAGCCGCAGTGCTTTTGGCATCCCACGAGACTCAGTGTTTCCTCACTCATTTTACAAGTATTTCAGAAGGAAAAATTATAAAACTATGGTTTTAAGGCGCCACTTCCTGTTATCAGCCAAATATCAGTGTTACTTACTGGTTCTTGAAAATGGGAAAGGTGGTTTTGGGGACTGGAAAGAGACTGGGATGTACATTTCCTGGATTGTTTCACCAAATTAACTAAAAAAGTTTAAAGAAGAATATGAATGATTGAAGATATTTTTATAACACACATCTCTGGAAATCTTATAAAATATGTATTCTACCACTGACATCATGACAGTCTGCCATTCTTTATGAGGCTTTAGCCAGTGAAATAAGAAAGAGGAGCCAAGCTGCCCCTCTCTACAATAGCTACTCACTAACCACTGACACCAGACCGGGCAGGCAAACATCATTTTTGCATAAACAGCCCCTACCCCATAGTCTGCATGTCTTCCTCTTCACTGGAATATAAATTTACTTCCTTATAAGCTTTCCCTTATTTTTCTCAAATTATTCTCTCTCTCTGCATTTTTTTTTTTTTTTTTTTTTTTTTTTTGGGGTTTA